GTCATCTTATGGATGAGATATTGAATTCATTCTTAAGACTCTCATGAGCAAAAAAGAGATTTTCTTTAGGAATAGTTGGGACAGTCTGACAATCTTGCAAAAATGCATCAATTAACAAACCTAAAAGTAAATGAACTCTTCTAGAGCTGAAAGGGCTTAAGTGTGTAGTTTGATATCATCAGTATGCTCCCAAGAGAGATTTTCTGTATGCAGATCTCATAAAACAATTTCAGAAGATTCACACTCATTCACTCACATCACTGACAAGTACAATTCTCAAAGATGGTTTAACAAGATAAGCTGTTCTCTTTCTTTGTGAAGTTTGAAACACTTTGCTTAGCTAAAAAGAGAACAGGAAGATAATCCATAGAGTTGTGAAGAACTAGTGAATAGTTTCCTCTTGCTTGAGCATATTTTTTAATCTCATATATGACATCAGGTTTCTATTTAATTGCTTCCTTAAGTAAATAGGTACCTGTCCATTTTGGTGGTTGTTCTCTGTATGACTGGAGCACCCCAATGCTCCGACATATTCCTGTGTTTAGACAGAAGATTCAAAGTGAGCAGTGGTAGGACAAAGATTATAAACATGAGAAACAGAACTGAGTTACACTAATTCTGTCATTTATGTGCAAATCATTTTCTAAGCCTTACAGAGGCTTTTCTTCATTTACTTCTTTTCTCTTCTCAGACATTTCATTGTAGTGATTTAAATGCATTAATCTATTACTTTTTCTCTTTTTTGTACCTTAATATACTGGGGTTAGAGACATGAATTTCATCTGAAGGTCAAATAATTCTAACCTGTTACTAATTAATCCCCAAAATGAATGTGTGAATCTCAGTTGTCATGAGTCCAGTGAAACTGTACACCTGGAGTTTTAGAAATTAATGTCAATATAAAAATAATGTTTGAGAAGAGATAAGAAATAAGTGTGCTAATTTTAACCACACACGTATTATATAACATATTATATACGTTATATGGTCATCTCTTAATATTGCCTGCATGCTGTGAAACTGCTTCCATTACAGTCCCTGGTACACCACTGTGGTCAAGAAAAGACTTAAAATGTACTTTAGAATGTTTGCCAATGGAAATGATCCAGTATGTAAGAGAAAAACTGATGTCTAAGAAAGATAAGGAAGATTTAGAGGGTGACTTTCAGTAGGTAATAGGGCTTGAGATGTGGCTTTAGATAATTATTCTGAGGGTTAAACTATCTAGAAGTGAAAGCAAAGCATGTGGGCATACAGAACAGTACTGGGTAGATGTTATGCTCTGGAAGCATGTTTAAAGTTGGTGAGAAAGCTTTCCCATCAGTTACTCATAATACAGACTACCAATTTCCAAAACCAAAATGAGATCAAGTTTTATCTTTTAGGGTATAATCCCCAACCCTTTTATCATAGGAAAAGAGAGCTAATGGTTTGAGTGCCTACTCTAAGCCAGACATTGTGCAGAGTGATTTACATGTGTTGTATCTTTTAATACTCAGAACTGTGAGGTGTGATTATGTCACTTTTCATTTAAGGAAACTGAGGTTTAGAAAAATTAAGGCACTTATCAGATGCCATACTGTTAGGGAATGCAGACATTGGCCTCCAAACCTGTTCGTTCTGACTCCAAAGCTAGTGTTATGCATACTTCATCATAATTGCTTTTTCCAATAAATGCATAATCATAATTTAATACTTTCCTTGGGCTTGTGTGATAACCAAAGAGAAACAAACCACTTGGCCACTAACTAGAAAACTTTGTTATATTCTGGTACTTGTAACTAAACTTCTGCGTGTTTTGGACAATGTGACAGTAAAGTTAAATGAGGACAAAAAGAAAAAAAAAACAATAATAGTTTATTCAATTAATAAACCTCCAACAATTATTTTATTCTGAGTCAGGAACGATTAGCAGTGTTATCAGTGCTAAGAAAACCTGCTGCTAAATCTAATTAAATGTTCAACAGCAAGAAGGGATTTTTGTTTATTTGTTTAGCAGTTTTTTGTTGTTCAGAGTACTGAGGAAAAGGACAATTTATCTGCATTTGTAATTTTAAATGTATATGCTTCTTGTATGTCTTCCATTCTAAGTAATCTTTTGACTTGGAAGTTTAAAAACAATAAATGAATTAGAAATGTATGTAAGCCAATATATTGCCTCTTTTCCTGAAATCAGAGATGTACCTGGAAGAACTTACATTTCATAAAATTGCATATTTTAGTACAAGCATTATTTGTATTTATAAAATGCTTTTCTTCATATAATTCCCAGCATTGCAACTAGGATAAACATTTTCTCCTTTGATGAAGAGAACCTAACACTTTATTAGAAAATTATCCATTTCCTTTCTTCTGTGTTCACAAGTTAATTAAAACTCAAGCAAGTTCATTTCTGCATTTTCTGTTTCTTTCTACTACTTAAAAGATATACTGTTGCTTCCAAAATTTTGAACCTCATTGTGCAAAATTGCTTTACAAACCATAGGATGGATTATTAAATGAATTATAAAACTTATTCGCCAAATTATATAATCCCTGTATTTTTTTGCAAGGTCTTCACTGTTTGTTACTTTGTAGGTAATATTTTGTGCATTTTTATTTCAACCTGTTATTCAAAATGTGTACATTTCACAGTAGTTAGCAAGATCAAATTATTTTATGACCGTAGGTAAGGTAAATCTCCATTAAACATTGCTAATGAAGAGAAGTTATAGAGGCATAAGGAATGTTACTGGAGCCCATGATGGAGGTTAATAAAATAGCATTACCCTCTGTCCTTACATTCTCACACCACGATCTGTTGATTGTGCAAAGAGAGAAGAACTCTTCAAGCTTCTGGATAAATGAGCTGAAATAGTTCTATCTTGAGAATAAATTACAATTTTACGTCACCATTTCAATAATGAGTAAACCCGTGTTATCTTGAAAACTGTTCTTATAGGTATATTTTCAAAATCTCTCACTCTGTCTGAAGAATTTTAAAGCATCCCCATTCTGAGATGCTGTGAGTATGCACATTGACCTGGTTTTAGCACTGTGTTCTTTAGATCCCAGGATATTGGAAATCCACCAGATACTTAGTAAAAACCTAACTCTGCTCACCAACGGTGAGACTCTGAACAAATTATTTAATCTCTTTGAGCTTTAAAGTTCTCTTTTTAAAAAGAAAATAATATTTGGCATATGTGAATATAAGAGGGATTAAGTGAAAGAGTGTGGATAAATTCTTAGCATAGATGCTAACACATAACGAGTGTGAAAATGACAATATTATTTTAAAATTCATTTAGTGAAATGGTAGATATTAATAAAAAGCCAAATTATTCATTTTCTAATATAATATATATCATTGAAAACATATTACAACATGTTAAGATAGGAGAACATTTTGTTCCATTTTCTCAAATAAAAATATTTTATTCTACCTTACATGGGAATACTCCAAACTGAAACTTCGTATTTTGTTCAAAGCAATTATTTTTCTTGTTAGTTTAATTTTAATCAGTAAATGGAAAACAGTTCTACGTCATACTAGATAATAACTTTTACTTTGAACAAAATGCTTCGCTTTCTAAAAGTTATTAGCTAGAAGAATTATTGCCTATTTTGATTAAATATACATCAATGGCTTCCCTCCTCCCCTCCCACTGTTTGTAATCTGTGCATCCCTTTTACTTCATTCTCTAAAACCAAACCTTGACCTCAACCAGCAGTCTCAGATTGATAGGCCAACCCTGACATCTGGCTGGAAGGACTTAAATACCTATACCCCGGCTTTCATAAACTAAACTTGCAATCTTTCTTGCTAATATTAGAGTCCATATACCACCCAATGTCCCCATAACCAGACTTTGTTCTGAAAACATGTTTACCTTTGAACTAGAGTTTGGTAAGTTATTTTTTGTCTTAGTTCAAAATGTCTAGCTCTCTGGCTTGGTAGCATATTCAGTGTCCCAGTCTTAAAACTTGGTGCCCTACTTGGTTCTCAAAAATCTCCTAAGAACTAAAATCTCTTACTGATTATCAGCGATGAGCCTGAGGACTTACTCCTGACACATTTTCCTCAATGTTACTTGCTACTTGGAAGCTAAACAGATTTGTCTTTTCATACCCTGGGACTACTCTGTCAACTCTTGGGAACCTAGTTACTGATGTGAGACCCTAACAAATATTATTCCAAACTTTCTTCTTCATATTATTTTATAATTTAATGTTTTATTTATTTTTTAATGTTTTATTTATTTCTGAGAGAGAGTAACGTTTTATTTATTAATGAGAGAGAGAGTATGAGTGGGAGAAAGACAGAGAGAGAGGGGACAGAAGATCTGAAGTGGGCTATGTACATGTTGACAGCAGCAACCCCAATTCAGGGCTCAAACTCATGAACCGTGACATCATGAACCGTGAGATCATGATCTGAGCTGAAGTCAGATGCTCAAATGACTAAGCCACCCAGGTGCCGCATTCTTTTTTTAAAAAAAAACAAGCTAAGTAATGGAGACTCTCCTTTCTAGTTCTTTTCTCTACCTTCCTACAAATCTACACATGAACTTGGTTATCCATCTTTTTTCTATCTCACTCTTTGTCATCCTATTATGCTCATCTAGGTCTACAGCTGTGACTTTTTTTTCCCCTAATTTGCTTAATCCAGTGTACACGATTAGACAGGTTAACCGATTTGTGGTCTCTTTTACACACTATCTAACATTAGACATTTCTTTCATTGACCACATGCCACATGAATGTCTAGAACATACAATGGTTGTGAGGAATATAGGGATGGATAAGTGTCAGAAGATAGATGCCCATACTGGATTTGAGAACAGACAGAAAAAGAAATTTCTCCCAACTGGTTTGAGAGTGAGAACTAAACAGTGCACTCTGTAAGAACAGACATGTGTTCTCTATTTTATTCGCACTATCTTCCAAATTCTTTACAAAGGATTGGGTAAATTTCTAGATGAATAATGAAAGAACAAGAGCTTCATGGGAAAGGCAGATTTATTCTGGTATTGAAAGCCAGACTGAGTTTTTATTCACATAGGTTTATTCCATTTAGTGGATGGAATGATGTAAATCAGCAGAGAGAACACACCAGACATGTTCAGAACACAGAGAAGTCTCATAGGGCTTATTCAACTCTGTTTCCTGAAGAGGTTCAGAGACACAGCCAAGTTGAAGAGCTTTGGTTAAGACAGAAAACAGTTTAAACATTAGGCCTAGGGATATCAATTTAGGAGTTTCCACAGAGGTAAAGTCTGAAGCAGAGATTGTTAAGATTGCCTATTTGTGTAGAGCAGAGGAGAAAAAAGTCAAGGAATAAACTCCGCTAAATATATATATTTAGATGATAGAGGAAATAAGGTCCTTAAATAGTGGGGGAGAGGGAGGGAGGCAAACCATGAGAGACTCTTGAATGCCAAGAACAAACTGAGGGCTGATGGGAGTGGGGGGAAGGGGAAGGGAGGTGATGGGCATGGAGGAGGGCACTTGTGGGGATGAGCACTGGGTGTTATATGGAAACCAACTTGAAAATAAACTATTAAAAAAAAAAACAGATACATACACTCCTGGATCTAGTGAGTATCGTGAAGTCCCCTTCCTGCATGAAGACATTGAGGTCAGAAGAGACTATGGATTTGGATAGATGCGATGAGAGAATCTGAACTCTAGATGAAGAAAAAAAAGGGAGCAATTGGAAATTTAAGAAGATAATCAGAATATTCAAATAAAATAAGGGTAAATTAGGAGTAGAGGAAATAAACACATACCCTTTTGTAGACATTTGATGATAAAGGAAGGCAGATAATTCCAAGTTATTTTTTTTAAATCATATTTAATTGTGAAATAGCAATCAATCCTATTTTTTTTGATTGAAAACAACATGAAATATCCTTAAAAGAAATGGAAAAATAAATCTTTTAATTATAAAACAATGCATTTAAAGTCAAATACTACCTCTGCAAACTGCCTCCTACCTTGATCTTCAATATTTCAATTGGTCATATGATTTTAAGTAAATCAGTAAGTAAGCTTCAGGAATTATTAGTAAAAAGGCCATCAAGAACGCATCTTGACTTTGACATAATATGTTCTATTATAAACATATATAATTAGAAAAGTTTTCAAGGAAAAGTTTAGAAAAGGTTTTATAAGATAAAAATAATTCTGTAAGATATAATAAAGCATTTTCTAAATGTTTTAATAAGAACAATACTATTTTATCAAATTTATACGGTTTATTCAAGTTAAGTAGTATATAGTCTTCAAAAGTCCAATGTGCTTCCTCTAAAAGACAAGTGAAAATAAACAAATCTTGGATTTTCTAATCTGCACCAGGAGTGGGATTTCTAATGATGTCCAGAGTCTTCAGAATGTGTACTTTATATTCATTACATACCAGACATGGTGCTAGGGAGTTTCACAAGTATAGTTTTATTAAAGCTTCATAACAACCCAGTGACAAGTATTACTTGTATTTTCTGTGTCAGAAAGCCCTGTTTAAATATTTGAGCTAGAGAATAACCAGCAAGTGACTAAAAAGTTTCCATCAGGAACAATGTCTCATAATTGACATATAGTCTCATTCACTAACACACCAAGTATTTGTTTATTAATTTGATCCTCATTCAATAAATCATATATCATTCAATAAATACTTACTAAACATCAATTGTGTGCCAGTTATGTTAGGTTATGAAATATATTTTGGTAATTCTGTAAACTGATCTATCTGTACCTCCTGATTCTACAACTTTACATGATTACTTTTTCTTGGCTGGGAAGTACTGATCAAGAAGATTAAGCATTGTACCCAAGGATGGCACTGTTCTGTTCAATTCAGCTTGACAAATAACTATGTGTCAAGCAGAGTTTTTTTTTTTAGGTACAATGCATATAGAGGTGAAAAAATGTAACATTGTCTCTATTCTTTTGTGATTAAAGTCTAGTGGGGAACATGGATGATAAATAAGTAACTACTAGTGTGATCAGTATTATGAAAGAAGAATTACAATGTGCAGTGAAAGAATCTGATCAGCCTCAAATGCTTTCCTACAGGAAACTTGACAAAAGTACAAGGAAAAGAAAATTTTTATAGAGATAACTGGTTTCATTTTTAGGAACAATATCTCTTGATTACTCTTTTAGGACATTAAGTAGAAAAGCACTATTTTGCTGTAGTCATCACAACTGCTAAAATCTATTCTAGTAATTCTACTTGTAACAGAATGCTGAGAACACAGAACAACACAATATATTCTAAAAAGAATATTCATTTCAGGTTAAGATTACCTATATGAGTTTACATGGCATCTAGTAGCTTACATTGCAACTTCTAAATTATAACACTAAAATACATTTTTAAAAACGATTAGAAAAACTAAGAGCAATCACAAAAACAAATACAAAACAGACTGCTATAAAATCTACTGACATGTCTGGGAAGAACTGAAATTAACTTCAAGACCTATGGAAAGGTACTGATATTACAGCCATAGTGGGATTGATACTCAGGCCTGGGAATTCAAAGATAACAAGGGACTTGGTAGGTGCAGTTACAGAGTTTAGAATTTATGGGTAAGAGAGATATTAATATAAACCATTATAGTAATGAATGAAATATTACAACCCTGAAAACACAACTATGTGGTCAAATTTGTATTAAAATGTTCTCTGTGCACATTATAAATCTATACAAAATGAAATGAAAAAAATGCACAAACTATTATGAAATGTATTTATGTACAATTGTGTAATTAGGAAATAAACACACAAAAGTTGCACATAAAACAATACATAGTAAAAAATTTTGGTTTCCTCTGTATGTAAACATAGGCAAATCAAAAAAAAATGAAAGCTAAAAAAGAACACATATATTATGTATGAGTGGCAGGATTATGATGATTTCTATTACCTTCTTTCTTTTCTGCATATCCCAAAATACCTGCCATAAGGATCCATTACACTTTTTCCAAATTTATCAAAAATATTAAAATAATACAGGGAGCCTGGGTGGCTCAGTTGGTTAAGCATCTGACTTTCGCTCAAGTTATGAGTTCGAGCCCCGCATCGGGCTTTGTACTGACAGCTCAGAGCCTGGAGCCTGTTTCATTCTGTGTCTCCTTCTCTCTCTGCCCCTCCCCTGCTCCCACTCTATCTCTCTCTCAAAAATAACAAATAAACATTAAAAAATTTTAAAACTATATTAAAATAATATATATTAGTGAATTTAGGAGAAGATATTTTGTAAGCAAATTGTTAAGTCATGATAGTTTAATTTGTTAACATAAAGGACTTGTTTTTGTTGGCTGTTATTATGCAAGAATATTGCAGTGCTGTCAATTTCTTTTTAATCTCTAGCTTTGGTGTGCCTTTTTTCTCTCTCAGTAAGGGTATTGTTAATACATTATAAGTGAAATAATACATTTAAGATGGCTAGCACAATCCTTGATGCACTGTAACAGAAGGTAAATTTCCCTTCCCTCTACCTTCATTTTATTTGATTATTTAAAAAGAAATTTTTGGGGTGCCTGCTGGCTCAGTCAATTGAGTGTCCAACTCTTGATTTTGGCTCAGGTCATGATCTCAGAGGTGTGGGATCCAGCCCCTTGTCAAGTTTTGGTTGGGCATAGAGCCTGTTTGAGATTCTCTCCTTCTCCCTCTACCACTCCCCCACTTGTATTCTCACACTCTCTCTAAAGTGAAAAATAAATAATAAAAATAAAAACAAATAAAATAATTTTTCATTTTGGAATTAATTTTAGATTTATAGAAAAGGTGCAAAAATAGTACACAATTATCTTCCAGTTTCCCCACTTTTTTAACTCTTTAAAAAAAGATTTATTTTGGGGGTGTGCGCCAGCAGGGCAGGGACAGAGTGACAGGGACAAAGGGTCCAAAGTTGGATCTTTGCTGACAGGCGTGACTGCAGGGAGCCCAATATGGGGCTCATACTCATGAACCGTGAGATCATGATGTGGGCCCAGATCAGATGCTCAGCTGACTGAACCACCCAGGTGCCCTGCAGTTTCCCCTTTATTAACATTAAGATATCATCTACCTTGGAGTACCTGCATGGCTCAGTTAGTTAAGCAACCAACTCTTGATTTTGGCTCAGGTCATGATCTAACAGTTTGTGAGATCGAGTCCCCTTTCGGGCTCTGCACTAACAGAGCAGAGCCTCCTTGGGCTTCTCTCTCTCTCCCTCTCTCTGCCTCCCCCCAAATAAGTAAACTTAAAAAAAAAGATATCACCTTCACTTTACTTGTTCAATCCCTAAAATCCCTTGTTTTCTTCAAAGAGCTATCTTCTACAGATATTTTAAATTCTTGCATATACTGTTATAATATGAAAACTAATCCTAGTAACATTTTTCAAAATATAAAGAAACATGATTTTAAAGTGGAATGATAGGGGCACCTGGGTGGCTCAGTCAGTTAAGCATCTGACTTCAGGTCAGGTCATGATCTCACTGTTCATGAATGAGTTCAAGACCCACATTGGGCTCTGTGCTGTCAGCGCATACATGCATGTCAGTGAAAAGATAACTTATTATATGATTCAGTCTATGTTATGAAAATGAATAATGTCATATTGTGAAATGTTACATTTCAAAGAAGAACAAGGGAAAATTAAGATTGCTCATTTTCAACTAATGGAGCTGATGCTCATATCCTTTTTGCCAAATACTGTATATTTGCCACTGTTTATATCATACCTTTCAGTAACAATCTCAACACATATTGGATAGGAGCTTCTAAGACCTTGAGTTTTATCTTTGTACGTAGTGTGTAACTTAAATATATAGTAATAAGTTACTCTCCGTCTCCCCCACCTCTCTCTATATATAATATTTCTAGAGAATACATGTAACATGCAATATTTCTCACAAATTTTTAAACCCAGGAAGATGCTGGATGAAGCTAATAGAAAGTTCTGATTTAAGCATGTGTAAAGAGATCTTATGTGCAGAATGAAAGTCAATAGTTTAAAATTAGCCAATAAGCTATTTTTTCCTTAGTTTAGAAAAGTCTAGTAGGAAAACTTACCATCACAGTTGCATCCACTGCATACGTTTTCCTTGTTAAAGAGCTAAATGAAGTAAAGTTGTATTCATATTCATTCAAGCTTTCATTGAGATTTTTAAGCTTTGTAATCATTCTACAATGCAGAAAGCAGCCTGATGGCATCAGATTAAGAATCCAATTTTGGGGGCGCCTGGGTGACACAGTCAGTTGAGCGTCCAACTTCGGCTCAGGTCATGATCTCACGGTTTGTGGGTTCGAGCCTCACATCAGGCTCTGTGCTGACAGCTAGCTCAGAGCCTGGAGCCTACTTCAGATTCTGTTTCTCCCTCTCTCTCTGACCCTCCCCTGCTCACACTGTCTCTTATTCTCTCTCAGAAATAAATAAAAGCATTAAAAAGAAAAGAATCCAACTTTGTTACTTTTGTTTGGGTATTTGTTTACAGATAATAATATAATTATGGCCATAGAATTGTATATCTGTAATGAATCATACAAACTATTCCAAATCTTTGCTTGAGACAGACATACAGTTAGGGGTGCTAAATGTGATTTAAGACCTTACTTAATACTCACATTTCATGCTCCCCAATAGAATATCAGTAGAGGATGCTTTTCACTAAATAGTATGTATATTTAAAATGCATGGCGTCTATGTAATGTCAAATTTATTGGAAAAAAAGGTAATCCATTTTCCTCCCTGTTCCTATTTTTCACTGAGCCAAAAACAAATGTAATCAGATTTTACTTTTTATACCTTTGTCAAATATTCTAAATACAGAGAAGCATTTTTAAATGACATCAACAGTGGTTTTTCAATGGATTCTCTTCCTTCTCAATTCAAATGATTTCATTTTGTATAT